AAGAAAATTTAATTTTTATCATACCACTTCTGTTTAGTGCAGAAAATCAAAAGTTATGCATTTCTGAAAGGGAAAGGAAAGATAGCTTTCTGGAAAGAAAATAGTTTTGATATTTTAAGTTCTCAAAGATGTCAGATTGGTTTTTATTATTTTTAAAGATTTATTTATTTATGTATACAAGCATTGGGGTACAGGCCAGAGGCATGGAGAGTGAGAGGATTTACCAGAGACAGAGTGGGGGGGACAGGACCGGCAAACTGATGAAAAACACTGCTGAGGGGAGCAGTGGGCAAGTCGAAGAGGTCTGCTGCCATGTGGGTCAGCTCCCTGGCTGGGGATAGAACTTGTGCTACAGTGGCTATGGATAGCTTCACAGTGCTGTGCTTAACCCCTTGGACCATCAGGGAGGCCCCAGATTGGATTCTATTTAACACATATAGAGTAGTAGCAAATATAAGCACAGAAGATTTAGCTAAAACATTGAAAAGTTCCTAGAAAGGAGTATAAGCAAACAGATCATTTAAAAACTTTTGTTTACTTACACTATAAAAGGTAACCACTTGTTAGTATGAACACGAAGAAATTAAAAACTCATCAGAGTTTTTAGATAGATATCCCTTAGTGATTCCAAGTCAATAAAACATCTTCATTGAAACAAATGTATGAGTTAGTACTTATGAAGGAAGGAAACTTCTTTCCAGAAACAGACCAGGGCTGAGTGTTTAGATGATATGTTCACAGCAAAATGCTTCTAAGTTGCACATGGCAGTCAGGCAGAATAAAGAACAAATTCAAGCCATTCAGCATCTTCTTCTACTTATGGACATGTTTGTGGTGAATGAATGCTTAATGCTTTTAAAAATAGCTCTGGTTTTTTGTTTTCTAATTGATGTAAAATCTTATTAAATAAAACAAATCTTGCTTATAAATATGACTTGAATACATGCCAAAGTGGTCTTCTTTTGACAAGCTACTGGGGAATTTCATTTTTCTTCAGTACATAGCTGTGCTTTCTAATTGTCAGAAAAAAAAATTATTAGAAACAAAAAGGGTCATTTACACATTTGAAATAGTAAAAATGCAGATCCCAAGAGTATTAATTCTGGAATAAAAAAGCATTTATTTCATATACTAATCAGATTGCACTGGCACTAACTAGCATCTCCCCACTAGCCATTTTAAGCACTATGTTCAAGTTAAAATAATTCAAATTGTGAGAATCTTCCACAATTCATAAAGAAATTTATGAAATTTCAAATTTAAAATGTAGGCCTATATAAAATTTAAAATGTAGGCCTATATAGATACAACAACAAAAAAAATGAAGACGAAAATGAACCTAACATTTAGACCTTTAAAGGACTTCTCCCACAAAGAGGGAGAAGAAAAGCCAAACCACATTTAGTAATAGTACCTACATTATGTCAGACATCTTTTTTAAAAAAAATAATATAATAGCTTATTTTTACATCATATTGTGCCTTTTTCCATGTCAGCTGTAATCCCCATAGGCTTCCCATCACCAAATCACCCGTGTTCCTTCGCCATAGTCCAGTGCACTTCGCTCCCCCCACCGTTGTACACACTTAATTCATCCTATGAATTCATCCTACTGTTCTAATGGGAAAAATGGTCAATGCACATTTTGCAGAGTAAAGGCTCAGGGAGGTTAAGCAACTCGCCAGGATTGCACAGACTGTAAATTACAATTACAGATACTCTGGCCCACAAGAGCAATAAAAGATAAATGGGCTTAAGTGTATGTCCTTAAAAACAAGTTCCCCTAAGATCGATAATATTTTAGGCAAAGTAGCTTACCATTTTGTGTAGTGGTAAAATACCTGTTTTCATTATTATGAATAGGGTCTTTAGCCTCCTGTTAATTTCTATGGCCAACAGAAAGTCTGACTTGTCTCCATAGTGAAATACAGATGAATAGATAATTCAATGTGTAAGCAAGAATGTTCCTTATTTTTCCATCTCCTGCGTAGGCCTGTGCTGGTTGGCTCTTATGAGAAACAGGCGAGAAAAATAATATTTTAAACCTCTCTCATCCAACCCCAGATATAAAGAGGTATTAAAAATGAATATTAGTGGTGGTTATCAGATTTTTTTTTTAATTCATACAGAACTGGGGTACAGGCCAGAGGTGCAGGGGCGGTGAGAGGATTCACCAGAGACAGAGTGAGGAGCAGAACAGGCAGGTCTATGAAGCACACTGCTGAGGGGAGCAGCAGGTGGGCCAGGAGAGGTCTGCAGCACCATGTGGATCTCCTCCCGGGCGGGCGGGAGTTCGAACTCATGCTGAAGCGGCTTTAGCTTCTTAGTGCTGTGCTTTAACCCGCTGCGCCACCAGAGAGGGACAGATTCTTTTTTTTTTTTTTAAGATTTTATTTACTTATGCATACAGAACTGGGGTACAGGTGAGAGGAGCAGCAGGTGTGAGAGAATTCACCAGAGACAGAGTGGGAATCAGAACAGAAAGATCAATGAAGTACCCTGCTGAGGGAAGCAGAGGGCAGGTCAGGAGAGGTCTGTGAGCCATGTGGATCAACTACAGGGTGGAGGATCAAACTCGCAGTGCAGCAGCCACAGCCAGCTTTGTAACGCTGTGCTCCATCCAACCCGCTGTGCCACCAGGGAGGGCTGGTGGTTATTAGATACTATAACTTTCTACTACTATCACAATATAGCAGAAAAGTAAAAATAACAAAGTTCTTTTCCTACCCTCCATCAATATGATGTACTAAATTCTATTGTTCTCATATCCTATGAGCAGAAAACAAAATTCTATTGGGTGGATAACATTTCTGGAACCAATGGAATTTTACTGAGCAATATGGTCAGCAATGGCACATCATGGTAATCTTTGATCAAGAAAATGCTTTCTTACAACAATGGTAGGAACAGACATAAACTAAATAAGCAATGAAACTAAGAGGGGAGTTTCTAAACTAAAAGTGAGGTAATTTTTTTTAAAAAGATTTATTTATTTATTCATACAGAACTGGGGTACAGGCCAGAGATGCGGAGGGTAAGAGGATTCACCAGAGACAGAGTGGGGAGCAGAACAGGCTGACTGACGAAGAACACTGCTGAGGGGAGCAGCAGGTGAGTCAGGAGAGGTCTACCATGCCATGTGGTCACCTCCGGGGCAGGCAGGGATCGAACTCATGCGGAAGTGGCTTAAGCTTCTTTGTGCTGTGCTTTAACCTGCTGTGCCACCAGAGAGGGCCCAAAAGTGAGGTAATTTTTAAGGTTGGAGATGAGTGACTTTTATCCTACACAATCTACTGTGTCCAACTATTTGCACCACTGTTTAATATTTGCACTCTTTGCAGACTCTTTAACAATACAACTTTAGTTCTTTGCTTTAGTTCAGCTGAATAGTTCATACAATTTCAGAATTTTGAGAATAATTATATATATCAATATACTACACTGCAATATAAATATCAAGTTTTCCTAAATTTATCATAGTCAGAAATTTAGTTATTTTGCTTTAGTGCATCCCTTGAGTAAAAACATGCTGCTAGGATAACTTTCTCTTTTCATAGTATTTTTATATTGACTTTGTTGGTCTATATATACAGTAATTTATTCCTCTTATAGAAAAATTTATGCCACATGACATAAAGACCCAAAATATTCTAACAGATAAGTTAGGCCAGGAGCCTGATTTAATTCTAGTTAGGCCAGGAGCCTGATTTAATGCCAGCAGAGTATGTCCCTTAAAAAGCAGCATTACTCTCCAGATGTGAGTCTTCTAAGGTGAAACAGTTACTCTAAACATTTCTAACATATAACCTCTCTTAATTTTATGCCATTATGCACAAAATTTCCACCAGCCACCTTAAGCCAACTGATGGAGCAGACAGTGCGATGTAAAGCCACAGTGTGTATCTGCAGAGTCCACACATGCCCACGCTTAGGCCTGAAGAGGGCTTTGGGCTGTAAGAGTGAAGATTTATACTGGCAAAGAGAATTCAAATTAGTTAAATTTAATACATACTAAAGAAACGGGTTGGAACCAAAATTAAATACATTTTCAGGTATCTTTTCAACTCAAGAAAGGAAAAAGTTAAGAATATAGTATCCCTGGATAAGCTTCTAAGAGTCCTTTGGCACAGATATACTATGAAAAGCTCATTGCAGAAATTCTTCTGTTTATTTTTTAGAAATACTTTCCTTCAACTGTTTCAATCAACATTTTGGAGAACTGATGAAGAAAGAGTACCACTGATGAAAATAACTTTTTTTTTTCATTTTAAACAAGAGAGACAGAGGTATTTGGGTAGGCATCAGATTAACCTTTATTTTTGTGTTCAGTTATAGTTTATCATGAGAATAGAAAAAGGTGAGTAAAATGTCTTCCTACTTTATTTGCATATAAACTGTGCTGTAACAGTGGTTCTTTCACCTAATGAGAGAATGATCATACCACCATGATCTCTTTGGTTTTTGCATTCCTCATCTGAAGAATTCAATATTTCAACCTAAAACCTCCAAAATAATTTCCCGTGTATCTTTTTTAATTAATGTTTCATCAACAGATTATTCAAGATCTAAATGTTCTATAAGTTATATATCAGCTTATATATATCAGTTATCTATCAGTTATATATATATAGAATAATGTTCCTGCTTTGTTTTCAATATGGCCTACAAATATCTGATAATGATGTCTTGACTTTTTCTAATTGGAAACACAATTGATTATATTCAATTTTATGTAGAGTATTTCTTTTAGGATTTATTTATAATTGTCTACTCCATCTAAATCTGAGTTTTGTTTTAGTTACAATGTGAAGAGAATTATATTTTGATTAAAAAGTAAAATAAAACTGCAAGCAAGTGGCTATGTTTGGATTCTTCACAAACTGATTTACAATAATAGAAAAGGAAATATTCAAATATTTAAATAAGCAAACTGCATATGAAATTAAATCATAAAATATCCTTTAATAAACAAAAATTTAATTTTTTGAAATTATACTTACAGGTAAATGAGTAAATACTTGAAAGATGCTTCTCAAAAAATTAATAAGATCCATTAAATAACCACTAGCTCTTCCATCAGGCTCAGACATTGTCCAATCATAATCAGCAAGCTGAACAAATTCATCAATTTTTTGGTTAAGTTTGGTATATATTTCTCCTTCTGCTGAATGTCGAGCATCCTGCCAGGGGACAAAAAAATAACGAAAAATTAAACAAGTTTTATTAAAATTTTAAATTTTGCTTTATATTTCTCTTTAATATTTTAATCATTTATTTGAAGGCCAAGAAAGCTTCTGGCTTTTTGGCTAGCAGTAAGCTAACTTGGCTAGGTATCACAGAAGGAATGGAATAATTGCTGGTATCTCCCAGTTCTGTATGCATAAATAAATAAATCTTTTTTTTTAATAAACAAATCTTTTAAAAAAATTTCTAATGCACGACAAATCTCTTCAGAAAACTTAAGAGCAATAAGCTGCACATTAGTGTTCAGCAATAACACTATCAGCTACTATAAATTTGGCACGCCAAGAAAACCAGGTATAAAATATCCACTAAAATGTAAACTCCATTAAGACAGGAAGCGTGTATTTACTAGTGTTATTTATTTATGTATCCCCAGCATCTAGAACAATGCTTGCAATGAAGCAGGAAGAGTATCTGTCAATTTTTTTTTTTTTAATCATGCCTGCTTTGAAGCAGTCAATAACCTAGCTGGGAAAGAAAAGTACCACAAATTTAAAAAACTAGGGAGTGAATAAACATTAACAAATTAGTTACTGACCTCATGTCTAGTAACTATATAAAGAAAGAGAGATCAGAGGACTGCAAAGGTCTATGCCACAACTTAATACCATTTTATACCAGTTTCTCAAAAAGCAGTATAAAATGTTTATTCACCTCTTTGTATGTTCCTCGTTGTCCATAATCAGCTTCCTCTATTTCATGTTTTAGAGAGTTAGGTATTTGGTGAAATTTCAGATATTTTTAAATGACTAGTCTTTTAAGATCTTAATTTAAATCCAACTTTTAAAAAAATGGTATACTTCTGAATTGTTCTTTTTAAAGTACTGAATTTTATTAAAATAAAAATGTTCCACATTTTCCTCAAAATTTTAAAAACAGTAGGAGACAGTTAAAACATTAACCAGAAGTTGAGGTGCAGGGAGAGACAAAATGTCTAGAAATTTTGAAGGTATGAGAGGAAAAAAAAAAACCAACAAAGGAAGAGAAATTATTAAAATAATGATTAAGCCATTCACATTATAGTAAAAGTCACCTTAATCAATGCTTTCTGTATAATCTGATTAAAAAACCATTAATTTTCTGGTGGCGGGTGGAGGGAGGATGACTAAGTTAAAATGAGGGGAAAACATAACCATTTATTAACTTATTGTTACTGTTATAATTTTGCTAAGTAGATGACTTTTATTGGTGACACCCAGAGTAGGCTCCACTTTTCCCATAAACTTTCCAGGTTAAAAAATATTTTTCTCATGTTAAATTAAATTTGAGGGAGAGAAATTTAAAATTTTTAAGGGTTTAATTAATGCTTACCACATGTTATAGTAGTAAACAAATTTAAGTCAGGGAGTAAGTAGCTGTGGTATGTGAAGGAAAAATTTCAGACAGCAGTTCCAGCAGGAAGATGTAAAAGTCAACACCTGAAAAGACTTTGCCATGGACTAAGGATTCTATTTATTTTATAAACTCAGGAAAATATAATCATTACAAAACATATGGACACAAAACGCCTCACTACATTTTATTTTTTATAAAAACAGGAGTGAGGAAAGTTAGATAGAAAATATTTTCATTGCAATTTTTTCCTCAGCATTTATATACTGAGATACAATGAATTATTTTGTAAGAAATTTCTAACCAATGTTTATAACTTAGATTGTTAAAAAAAAACAAAAAAAAAAAACCAAAAACCAGGAGTTCTATAGTTGAAGCACAAATATTCTAAATCCATATGCTCTCACCAGAACATCAGGAACATATCAATTAACTCCTAAATTAAAATTTTAGATTCAGCTTTACATAAAGCAATTCTTCCTTTGCTTCTTAAAGAAACAGTGCCCTCTGGAGGCAGGAAAGTGTCTAGCATAATGAAAAATTTTAATTTCAAAGTGTAAGAATTGAATGATACCATACTATGAGTGGCTCTTGATCATTAGTATGCAACAGAACCAACCATGCAAGGGTTTTTAAAAGCGTACACCTACACAAAACTCCTCCGGAGACCTTTAAGACCACACCATGTGTTTGAAATAATAGTAAAGTAGTGGTAGCTATACAGCTTAGTACTTACCTGTGATTTACAGTCTATTAACCTTTTTGCTTTGTGAAACAGTACCCCAAATACACTTTGGAAAATCACTTTGCCCCTATTCACAGATCTATTTGGTCAAGACAGGGTTGACTTTATGTCTAGCTCCAAGGACGTAGCCAATGAATTTCAGTCAATTATCAGTAACTACCCCCTTACCCACAGGAGTTTCATAGCAGCCAGTAGAGAGACAATCTCTCTTCCATTAGATGGTAGGGAATGAAGAGGTGAGGTCTTTCATTAGGCAGCCACTGTGCTACCAGAGGAAGACACCCTGAAGCAGAGGGGCAACCCTGTATGGTCTGAACATGATTATAGTACATGAATCTTATCTAAAGATATCCAAACTCAAAGTGCTATAAAACAAATCATGTCTACTTTATATTGTAGGTAGTTACTTGTCATTTTAGATTTTAAAATTGTTGTAGTTAAGAACCATATCTTACTCTCAAATAACCAGCACAGTACAATATACTTTTTTGTTCTATGAACATTATTTATCAATATTATATCCACCCAGGCTAAAACTGACAGTTTAGGAAAAAAACTTCCAAGTAGTAATTGCTCGGTTCACAGGAATAATTTTGGGACACGTTCAGAGCCTACTTTAGACAAAATATTTCATGTCTTGGGCCCTCCCTGGTGGCTCAGCGGGTTAAAGCACAACACAAAGAAGCTTAAACCACTGCCTCTTAGTTCGATTCCGCCTGCCCCGGAGGAGATCCACATGGCGTGGCAGACCTCTCCTGACCCGCCCGCTGCTCCCCTCAGCAGTGTACTTCGTTGATCTGCCTGTTCTGTACCCCATTCTGTCTCTGGTGAATCCTCTCACCCTCTGCATCTCTGACCTGTACCCCAGTTCTGTATGAATAAATAAATAAATCTTAAAAAAAAAAAATATTTCATGTCTTATCCCTTATCAAAGTAACCTGTTCTATAAAAACCTAAATCCACCAGCTACTCACTTCCATCAACAGAAAAAGGCAACATAGGCTCTGAACAAGAATCAGAGTCTAGAATAATCTAAAATACAGCATCTTGATTATAGGCCATACTGTAATAGGTCATTATAAACAGAATAATTCTTTAACTATGCAATTACCTAAGGTACCACCTCTTTCTTAAAAGGTGGGTACTACATTCTTACTTTTGCAAGTTACAGCTTTTGTACCTCAAAAGTGTTAATAAAGAATGGTGAGGGGCTTTGCAGTAGTACCTGCTACTTAGGAAATCTAACCTGTTTTGTCATCAGGTTTGCAAATCATCTGGCATAAATAGCTTTTAAATAACTCCTCAGCAATTTCCTTCCCCATTCTATTTCTGCTTTCCACCACCTTTGTAAGAGGCTCTTGCTATAATTAGCTGATTACTGATGATAAATTACAGAAAAACAGAAAGCTGAGCACTTTAATACATCAGTGGGGGTTGAGGTAGTCTGTAAATTCTGTTAATATTCATTTCGCCTCTAACAACTGCTTTTGTTTTTTGTTGTTTTGGGCAAATTAGTATCTGCATTGTTTACTTTTTTTTTACTTACATCTATATAGCTTACTTGACTATGTATTCCAGTCAATAAATATTTGTTCAGCTTTCACTTGTTTCCCAATTTACCTTTAAGGATTTTGTCATTCAAATGTATTAAGTTAGCTGCAAGCATAAAACTACTTTATGCTGTCCTCTCTAATGGAGGAAGATAAGGAGAGAATTAGGTGGTAATGGTGACAATAAAAAGGTTATAGGCAATGCCTTCTAAAAAATGACAACCAAAAGTTGTAGAGTAACTCCACCAGTAACATAAAATACTACACAAAAAGTAATCAGAAAAAGCAATTAGTCAGGAAGCAATATGGCTAGTGGTATAGCAAAGCAATAATAAATTAAGTTTATAGGTAAGTCATATAACAATAATAATTAAAATGAGAAATGAAATCTTATTTCTAATACCTTACTGGTTTTTAAATGTATGACTGTACCAGTTAAAGAATTTCTATCTTTACTACTAGAAATAAAATATAATTTTACTCAAACAGTATTCAGAGGTCACATTTACATTCAATAACCAGGAAGCAAGCAAAAAAAAGTCTGAGTAGCTAAAAGTAACATTACAGTTTATATGTCAGTAAATAAGGTTTAGTATTATTATAAAATATAATACTATACTAAATCAAAAATAAATCCCAGCCACATTTAATAACCATGTGAAACATCTCCAGTCTTGAGTGAAATTACACACAAAATGATGGACTCTGTGTAAGTCCATAAAAATAAGAGTCCAAAAACAGACAAAACTAATTTATGTCGCCAAGTCAGTACTGCAAGAAAAAATGATGACTTGGAAGAGGGATAAAGGCTTTCAGTGTGTCAGTAATTCTTTCTTTACGTCAGTTTCATGGATGAGTTCCCTTTTTCCAATTTAAATACTTTACTTTTTTAAAGTAGTTTTACACTGATAACAAAATTGTGGAAAGGTACAGTTGTGTCCCATATACTTCTCTTATTGCACATTTGCACAATCTCTCACCTATCAAAACCTCACACCTGAAGATAAATATGTGAAACCATTAAGGAAAACTGTAATGAAGGATCTTCAAAAGATTAAAACTAGAACTACCAAGAATGTAATAATTATACCTTTGAGAATAAATATAAGGAAACAAAAACACTAACTTGAAAGACTTCTATACCCCATGTTTTCTGCAGCATTATTTGCAACAGACAAGATATGGACAACTATTCATCGATAGATGAATACATAAAGGGTAAATAAATAAGGTATGAGATACACACACAAACATGGGTATTCAATATTCAAATTATCTTTCAAAGTGTTGGGTTATTTTGCATTTCCACCAGCAATGAATGAGTGTTCCTTTTGCTCCACAACCTTACCAGCATTTGGTGCTATTATTGCTTTGGAGTTTGGCCATTCTGACAGATACACAGTGCTGTTCTAATTTACAATTCCCTAGTGAAATAGGATGTAGAGCATATTTTCATATGATTGCTTGCCATTTGTCTATTTTCTTGGCGAAATGTCTGTTCTGGACTTCTGCCATTTTATTAATTTAGTTGTTCATTTTCTTTTTTTGCTTTAATTGTTCTTTGTGTACTCTGAGTAACAGTTCACCTTTTGCAAAGGTCACATGAATATATTTGTGTGTGTTAATTTCTGGACTCTGTACTCTGTTCTACTTATGGTTTTTTCTTTGTTTTGTTTTTGCCTACATCACACAGACTTATAATAAGTCTTAAGATCAGGTAGTGTCAAGTCTTCAAACTTTATTCTTCAATATTGCCTCTCCACATAAACAACAAAATCAGTTAGTTGATATTTACAAAATTGCTGAGGCTGTGTTTAGGAATAGCTTGAATCTATAAAGTTGGGAAAACTGACAGCTTGATAATATTGAATCCTATCCATGAACTCCATGAACATGGATTATCTCTCCACTTGCTTAGTTCCTTTTTTTAATTTCTTTCATCAGAGTTTTGAAGTGTTCCTCATATAGATCATATACAAATTTCCTAGATTTAAATCTAAGCACTTCAGTTTTTGTGGAGATGTAAATGGTATTGTGTTTTTAATTTCAAATACCAGTTGTTCACTGCAATTACTATGGTCATTGTAAGAAGGCAGTCAGTCATCTGCAAGCTAGGAAGAAAGTCCTTATTTTAGTCACGATCTTAAAAAAAAAAAGTTAACTACATAAGTCACCAACAGAGCTACAAAAGTCACCAACAGACATTAAAAAAAAGGCAAATTAGGAGAAGAATCAGAAGTATATTCCTTCCAGGCACATACAGTTAGAATCACTGCTAGGACTAAAAAGTAAAAGAGCCTTCAGAATTGGAAAAAATCCAGGGAACAAAGCTGTAATTCCAAAGAAAAGAAATTGGACTCTTTCCTTCCTACACAGATTAAAAAGAGAATGGTATTCCCATTTTCCTCTTCTGTTCTGATGCAAATCTTTTCAGTTAGGACAAACGTTATAGTAGCTCCAAGTAGCTCTTAATGTGGGTCCAGGTTAATTTTCAAAAGATGAAGCACTGTTTGAGGACAGGAACCACTTATTACACCTCTTTTGTGTCACTCAAGAATTAGAAGTGATTAGTCTAACAAGATCGCCTAAACAGCAGTTACAAATAAGTATGACAAAAAATCAAATACTTTGGGTCTATGTATGTGTGCTCTTTGGTGAGAGAGCAGATGGAGGTATGGATAAAGGGTTCATGTAAGTGCTTATTATGCTCATAATATTAAGCAATTAAACGTATAATTCTTTGGCAAATGACTGGACTGAAAGAATTGGACTAAAGTTAAGCAACTCATGCTAATATCTATAATAAGACAATATACTTCAATCACCTGAGAGAAAAGGCACCAGACTATTTACTCTGAATGGAAATTCCTCAAATTTCCCTCACTTTAACAACTCACTTTTAAATTGATTTAACAATTCTCTGGTGTTGAATTGTTTCCTTATACACAGCTTAATACAACTTCCTTTAAAAACAAACAGTAGGGGCCCTTCCTACTGTCTCAGTGAGTTAAAGCACAGCACTAAGAAGCTAAAGCCACTTCCGCATGAGTTTGATCCCTGCCTGCCCCGGAGGTGATCCATATGGCTCAGCAGACCTCTCCTGACCAGCCCGCTGCTCCCCTCAGCTGTGTACTTCATCAGTCGGCCTGTTCTGTTCCCCACTCTCTCTGTTGAATCCTCTCACCACCCCCGCACCTCTGGCCTATACCCCAGTTACAAATTAATAAATCTTTAAAAACAAACAAACAGTAGAACTGAAGACTACTTGACCTTTATACAGAGAGTTTGAAACAACACTCGTTCTCATATCAAACCAGAAAGGGTTCCCTAAGTTCTGTATGAAAATAAAATAAAAAACAACAATAAGAATGTTCTATTACTTGTATAGGTCAAACTTGATTTCCTTATTTCCAAGAAAACAACAAGGGGTATGCCACACCAGCTGTGGTGTCAACTAAATATCCACAACTTAAGGGACCACTGAAAAGAATGACCAGAGCTATCATTTCCAAATATTCCCACCCAAAAGGCAGATTTTGAGAGGTATAGGTCCAAGATCCCTTAATCTAAAAGCATCTTATTTCAGTATCTCTAGTTCTTTTACCTCCAAGTGATAAGAAAAATTTCTTGAAGATCTGTAGATAATCCAGATGTCAAGGCAATGCATGCTATTTAATCAGTGTACAAAAAAAAATATTAAAGTTAATGTTAACAGTTCAACATGCTTACCTATATTCTTGATAGGTATGAGTAACAAATAGACATAAGGAAGTGAGCAGTAAGGGGTAGATGAAATTATGAAAAAAATCTAAAGAAAATCATCTCTTTTCTCTTTGGATAAATAAATGTTTTTAAAAATTTGCGGAGGGCCCTCCCTTGTGGTTCAACAGGTTAAAGCACAGCACTGTGAAGTGAACCACAGCCACAATGGGGATCAATCCCCACCCAGGAGGTGATCCACATGGCACGGCAGCTTCTGTCTCTCCTCCTGCTCCCCTCAGCAGTGTACTTCATCAATCTGCCTGTTCTGCTCCCCGCTCTGTCTCTGATGAATGCTCTCACCCCCTGCACCTCTGGCCTGTACCCCAGTTCTATATGAATAAATAAATACATCTTTAAAAAATTTGTGGAATTTCCTTCTCTATTGTGATTACTTAACATATTGTCATGTCTTTTTATGGTTTGTTCTATAAGTTTCTTGAAGGTGGGGGATACATTTTTGTATTAGCGGAAACTAACAGCATTCTTGGAGCACAGATGATGTACAACAAAATGGCATTGTATCTCTTTAATTTCTTAATTATTGTATGATGTAGGTAATATATTGTTACTAAAATTTTATAGATAAAGGGGTAATTTTTTAAATTGAGATATAAGTATGGAGATATAATGTAGGTAATATATTGTTACTAAAATTTTATAGATAAAAGGGATAATTTTTTAAATTGAGATATAATATTCATATAACATCATATTAGTTTCAGGTATACAGTGTAGTGGGAAAACTTGGAATTTTTAAAATGGAAAAGCATGCCCAGCATCACTGGCATTCTAACAACCCCAGTGCACTTGTCTTCCTTACTTTATTATACCACCTAATAAACGAATGTCATTTTTTCTAGCTTCTGCTGAGTTTAATAAAAACGCTTTATCAGTTTTCTGACTGAGAGAGCACTATAATTTGTGTCTTAAGGTAATAGGACGATTACATGAGCTCAGGACTCACCAGAAGAGTAGAAGACTTGGAGGCCAAGCAAAGAGAAGAAGTAGGAACCCAGGTTTGTTTCTGGAGCTCATACTTTCAAGGTCTAATTAACTGTGAACATCAAATTAGCTATTTCTAAATACAAGTACTAAGTACAAGTATAAAAAATACTGCAATTTTTATAATGAATTATTAAGATATAAATGATTATATTAAAATTTTAAGAGACAAGAGTTGGGTAACATAACAACAAGAGCAGGAAGATAAGAATACTTAATAGGAAGAAAGGGTTCTGAGGTTATACTAATCTATTTAACAGGTAAGGAATAACTGGTTTCTATTAATTTAACAGAATATTCAATGAAAGGGAAATTTACATTACTAGATTGTACCAATGTCTCATCCATATAAACCTAAATAATGACAGTAAATTAAACAAATTTATGTACGTATATAATCTTTCACTCCGTATAAAGCAAATATTTATTACTCTTTCAGTAAACCCATTCAAACAAAAATCCTTCCATTCATAAAAAAGTAGGGTATCAGTAACATGTAATGAGGCAACATTTATTTTTCTTTAGAGCCAACAAAGGATATAAAGCAAATATTCATTTATCTAATTTGTCTTTTATTTCTATTTCTAATCACAAACACACTTGTATGTTACGTATAAAAACGATTCTTGTACTGAGACACTGATGAAAAATCAGTTAGAATGATTTGGCCTTACTTTAAGCCTTCAATATGTGAGGATAATATAGTTACTGAAATCAATAAATCTTTTCCTTAAGATATTTAATAAAACCCAAAAATGGAGAGGCAATATATATATTTTTTTAATTTTATAATAGTTTATTTTTACATATTTTTGTGCATTTTTCCATCTCAGTTGCAATCCCCTTGGGTTTCCCATCACCAAGTCACCCATGTGCCATCACCATAGTCTAGTGCATTTTGGAGAGGCAATATTAATCTATTCATTGTTGACGATGATGACCTCTAATTCTCCATTATCGGGAAAATAATAAAATCATGCATATAATAAAAATTGTCTTTAGTTTAAAGATTTATTTATTTATGCATACACGAACTGGGATATAGGCCAGAGGTACGGATGGATGAGAGAATTCACCAGAGACAGAGTGGGGAGCAGAACAGGCAGATAGACTGAAATATACTGCTGAGGGGAGCAGCGGGCAAGACAGAAAAGGTTTGCTGCATCATGTGCGTCAGCTCCCTGGCCTGTGATTGAATTCATGCTGCAGTGCTGCAGACAGTATGACAGCACTGTGTCTTTAACCCCTGTGCCACCAGGGAGGTCCCAAAATGGCATTTTTGGTCAGGTTTTTACATACCTTAAAAGTAGAAAGTCCATAAAGTCTTGTGGTATGAACAGTTTCCTGAGAAATATTTGTAATATTCGTTATAAAGTCTTCAAGGTATTTACAAGCTTGTTCCAGGTGTGTTGTGTTTATGATGATTTGCACTAGCTGAAAAATACAAAATATATTCAGTAAAATGAAAGTTTTGTGTACACAAGGCCATTTGAGTTTTTAAAATAGGATCATCACTTTCAGCAATATACTATTTCTGCATAATTATAGCATTATAAGATATGATTTCAAAAGCATGCTGCAAATATGCTGAGAAAGACTGTCATTTAAACAAAAATAACCAAGTCTAACTTCTAATTTCAAATAACCCTTTTGAATACTTTTTCAAATTTTATACATTTGCCAAGGAAAATAAAAAGAGTATTCTTACTTTTCAAGTAAAGTCTGCAACCGTGTTATGCTGTAATGTCTTCAATTACCTATTCCTATGTAAACCCTTTTCCTCCACATTGCTTGAATATGTACTGATATTTATGTTTAAAACAACTTTGCTTCTACTGATAAATTGAAAACACAAAGATAGCTTTTTAAATACTAGTTATATGACAACTGTTAGCAGAAACTTAATTTATTATAATTGTCTCATATAATGTATAGCTAATGTATCATTTAAAACCTACCTCCGTCAAACCTATATGAGGTTTTCTAATAAGGTTCAGTAAACAGCTACTCAAAGTTCTAGTCAGCAGCAGATTTGTTGATTTTCTAAGCATATCATCTATTTCTGTTGAGCTAAAAACAAAGGTTGATATTATTAAAGTTTCCATAATGGCAAATTAATTAGCTTTCTAAATTATCAATTTGCTGAGGTAATTTTCTCTGCCTCATTCCCTTATATCCTTAAATGAATAATCACTCATGTTTATTAAATCACAAATTTCAATTTAATTTCACAAAAGAAACATTTTTAATAAAATAGAGTGTGCACTTATGGCACAATTTGATTGTATGGAAATGACCAGTAAAATAAAACCATGGGAAATTTAGTACAAGGAAAGAAAACTGTCCTTAAATTTGACCCCAGCCAGACACTATGGCTCAAAACAAAACCAGTAGTAAGAGGAAAGTATCTAGCAATAAAGGACTACATTAAGGAACAAGATCTCAAATAAATAATTTAAGCTTATAGTTTCATGCACTAGAAAAAGAACAAAAGAAACCAAAAACAACTAGGAGGAGGGGAAGTAATAAAAGCTGGAGCAGAATAAACAAAATGGAAATTAAAAAGAAAGCTTAAAAAAATCTCCACAAAACCTCTTTACTTGAAAAGATAAAGAAAACAGACAGTATATAGCCAGGCTGATTAAGAAAAAAGGGGACAAAATGTAATAAAAAGGAATTGTCTCCAGTTTCGTAACCATCATTCCCTCATCATTGCCTTTTTCATCCTTGCTCTGCTCCTGTTTATGTGTTCAGGCAAACCAAACCAGGAGTCTACACAAGACTGGCTGAAATCCAGACTGAGGCAGAAGTAAGACAAGGGTTAAGTCTGAGCCTCATTACCCTAGTAAAAAGCAAGCCTACCAGCACCAGCACAGATTCAGTCAAGGCCAAACTTGGAAGAAAAAGGGACATGGCTGCATTTCTTAGAAAAGCTGCCTACTTCTCTGACATGCTGCTAACAAAGCCCTTACCTTGTTCTCCCTTAGTGCTGCCCGTGTAAGTCTTTGGCTCTCCTAAGCTCAGGGGATGGCATTAGAGACAGTAGTCCTTCATGTCATTAGTTTTGACAGTTATTGGTTTAATCTAATTTCCACCAACCAACTCTTATCTACTGAGTTTGGGCTAATGAGTAGCAAGTACCCAGACTGATACCAGAATCAGAAAAAACTGGTAACAGAATCAGAAACAAAAGAGAAGTTATGACAGACATCTGAGAAATACAGAAGGTTGTATGTGACTACTATTATTAACTTTATGCCAATAAAGTAGACAACCAGGTTCTCCCTGGTGGCACAATGGGTTAAAACACATTACTGTGAAGCTATCTACAGCCACAGCACCATGAGTTTGATCCCCAACCAGGGAGGTGATCACATGGCACAACAGACCTCTCCCGTCTGGCCTGTTGCTCCCCTCAACAGTGTAGTTCAGTCAATCTGCCTGTTCTGCTCCCCACTCTGTCTCAGGTGAATCCTCCAACCCACCTACCCCACAACCCTGGCTTGTACCCCAGTTCTTATATGTATAAGTAAATAAAAAATAAAGTTTTTAAAAAACATAAAAAAAAAAAAACTAATAAGGTAGATAACAGAAAAAAAGGGCAAATTCTTAGAAGCAAAAACTTTCCAAGACTGAATCAAAAAGAAAAAAAAAAACCTGGCCAATTACAAGCAAAAAGATTGAAATAGTAACCAAATAGACCAATTACAAGCTATTCCATTCCTAGGTATAAACCCAAAGAGTACAAAAGCGCTAAGTCAAGGTATCTCTGCACTTCTATGAAACATATAAAAAAAAGTCCAGTTATAAAACCAACCTAAGAACCCATGAACAGATGAGTGGATTAAGAAGATGTGTTATTATCAGTTATAAAAAAGAAAAGCTGAAATAAATGTTGCCATTTGCAACAAAATGGATGGAAGTGGTAAGGACTAAGCTAAACAAAATAAATCAGAAACAAGAAGATAAGTACTATATGATTTCACTCATGTATGGAATATAAAGAAACAAAACAAACACACAAAACTAAATCAAAATAAACCCTAGAACTCTGACTGCAAAATTGAGGTTACCAGAATATAGGGTAATCTAGGTGAGGGCAAATACTCAGAAGATAGGACTAGCAAACTATCCTAGTATTCTACTTCTATGAACAGTTGAAGAATTACATCATAAAATGTAAAAAATATTTGTGATTTATAGAAACTTAATCCCAGATGTCACTAAATATTTAAGCCTTTCCAGTGAGAAAATAATCTATTACAGTTGTGGCATTAAAATAAAGTATTAATATTTTTAAAAGCTATGATAAAGGTATATTTCTTATAAGTAAACTTACCTTCGGTGTAGTGACTCTGAAAATTTAAGGCTGGCATAAATAAATTCTTTGACTTGAATGTAAATATGAGGTACTGACTGAGACATGGGAAATTTCTTTGGGAAAGATTGCTGCAGAAAGAAAAAGTGGTAGTTTTTGAAACTTTAGCAAAAGATATCAACTAAAAATGTAAAAATGATATTTATTTCATTTTTGATTAACAGTAAATAGTTGAGTCACAAAATCAATTGCTCTAATTCTACATTATTTTTGGAATTTTAAAGAAAATTAAAACATGAAAATCATGTGGCCATTTGTCTGTCTTAAATCATACTACCAGACTTTTACCAAGCACAAAGAACATACCAATACCTTTTATGTTCTGATAAGTATCTTGGTGAAGATGTCTAGCTATTTGTTTCTTTGCATCCGAATATAAGAGCCAGGATAGCCAAGAAATTAAGGACCAGTTTCCTGTTTGTCATCAAATGAATTCTAAGATTCTCCTTGTTCACTTTTTTAAAAATTATTTATTTATGCATACAGAACTGGTATACAGGCCAGAGGTTCAGGGGCGGTGAGAAGATCACCAGAGACAGCGTGGGGAACAGAACAGGCAGATCGACAAAGTACACTGCAGAGGGAAGCAGCGGGTGGGTCAGGAGAGGTCTACTGTGCCATGTGGCCACCTCCTGGGCTGGGGATTGAACTCACACTGAAGCGGCTGCAGCTCGTTTGCAATGCTGCATCCTTACCCCTTGAGCCACCAGGGAGGGCCCTCCTTGTGCCCTTCTAATGAAGGCTGAAGTCACTTCAAGCAGGTATCCAATTCATTCTAAAATTCCTAGAATACATTATAGCAGCTATCTGACCAGTAGACCATCGAACAGTGGCATGCAGACAATGACTTACAGTGTATTTCCTGGCTAAACAGCTTTATTAGCTAACATCATTAGAAATTCTGTCTCCAAAAAGACATATTCTGACAAGTTTTTTACCAAAGCCCCTGTTTTATACTTCATGAAGTCTGTTATCTTCACATCTATTGCAACCTACTGACATCAGTAAAAGTACTCACCAAGGTCACCAATTACCTCATAGTTTTTAAATCCTATTGACTTGTCGAGTTTTCATGTTGTCTGTCTCATTTAAGGTATTTGAGACACTGTTCCTGCTTCCTAAGCAGTCTCTCCTTTTTTGGCCCCCATGCTGCACACAGGCTCTCCACCTAGCTACTTCTTTTATAACATATGCTATCCTTGGATCATCTCATCTATCCTTATTACTTTGATCACTATGCAGGTGCCATTCTTTCCCAAATCTACAATTCCAGAACAAATCTTTCTCCTGAAATCCATACCAATATTCTAAGTAGTACTTGGAAACATCTCAGACACAGGAGGTAACATTTGAGACACAGTCATGAGATTCAAAATAATCATCCTACTATACTAAATCTACTTCCTAAATTCCTAAAATTTCCAGTTTATTTTTCTGTCTGTCACTTATTATAATTCCTTGACAGCAAGACTGAAAAACTAGCACACCAGTGTCTACTGTATAATAGGTTATAACAAATACTTGAATGAACAAATATAATCTTAGGTACTTCCAACAAAAGAAAACCTACAACTAGGTGGCAGTAAAAACATTTTAAAGAACTATGTCTCTTCAAAACTGGTAGTTTCAACTTTTCAAAATTTAAGAGACTCAATTAGGAATAGTACAAAATCAACTGAAGAATTCCTATTTTTTAATATTACCCAATAATGCTATAAATGTTAACTCACCTTCAATTTAAATTTTACAGAATAATGAGCCCAATACTAACATTCTGAGAGATATTGAAGCTTATAATTTATTTTAATGATATTACTGATAGGATATGAATATTTTTTAGTCAAAGGGACCCAGAAAAAGACATTTGTTTATATATTCAATCTTACTCCTTTCTCACTCATAATTTATACTGAAAATAATAATTAGGTTACTTGAGAGACCATTTTACATTAATTAAAAATTGTACTTACATTAAGAAAACATACACACACTGAACTCTCTCAAGAGCTTGTTACTAAGTAATTTATGGAATTTCTTTTCAAGTTGTCATATTTAAATTTTCCATGTGACTTTTACCCTAACAGTTTTTTTTCTTTTTTAAATAATATAATAGTTTATTTTTACATCATTTTGTACCTTTTCCCTTCTCAGTTGTAATCCCCTGGGCTTCCCATCACCAAATCACCCATGTACTATCACCACAGTCCAGTAACAGTAGTTCTTTTTAATGACGAGTAATATATGGATCAGTGAATAAAACTCCTAACAAGTTTAATAGTAAGTGGTACCACATACTTTGGGGGATCCCTAATAAGCAAAGCTAAACTTCCTATCAAAAATAAACCTATTAGAATAGATTTTATTTAGTGTTATTGGAAAGGTCATTAGAAACTGTTTAGTTCAAACTTTTATTCACAGATGAGATACAAATGCCTAAATATTTAAGTCACTTTAACCACGTAAGCTCTCCCAGTAAACCAGAGTAGAGTATGAAACCAGACTAAATCTAATGCTCTTTATACAGAACCTCTGTCCTGACAAGCTTATGACCAGCAACTAAACCAAACTACAGAATGAATACTCTGAAAATATTTCTTGATAGTGGTAAAGTAACTTTAGGTTTCAAAAATGTAGAATTAGAATAATTATCCTGATCTTTTTGTGTATTAGAATATGACTGTCAGGAATACAATGGCAATGTTACATATAATCTAAAAACTACACATTCAGTTACTTGGTTACTTGAATTCATTATATATAATAAGCTTATTTTAAAAAATATACAGTAACAATAAACTCAGAATTTAGTCTGATCATTGTGAGGGAATAAAAATGTTAAAAAGGACTAAGTATAAAGAATTGGAAAACCAATAAAGACTAAGGAGAAAGAACAAGAATAAAGGAATTTAAAAGGTAACAAGAACAAGAAATATAAAGCCCTTTTCCCATGAGATTTGACTGCATCGAGGAAAGCTGGATAGGTACAGGTACTTATGTTTGTGTGTAAGCACACATATGTGTGCTCCTTGAATATTCTACATGCTGATCTATATCCTTGTTCTAACCGGTCTTTTGTTCAGACATCTATCCAACACAAGTAAGGTCTGCCTTGAGAATTCACCCACATTTGGGACCACTATCCCTAGTCTTTCCAGAAAAGTTCCTAACTTTACCAAAATATTAACAATAATATTAATAATTTTTAAATTAACAAAAAATAATTTTCTCAAATAAAAACCAACAATTTACCTCAAAAGAAGCCATTCTCACTTATAGTTTAATGTTATAGAGCAATAAACATCAGGGATGTATTTTTCAAAAGAATTGTTGAATTAAACATGAACTTGTACCTTTTCAAAGTCTGGATCTTGGAAGGGAAATTTGCTGATCACTATTTTATATTCTTCTTCATTAACAATAGGGATGGGGCTGTAATTATCTTCTTCAAAAATGTCCCTGTTAAGAAAGAACATAGAATTGAAGAGTTAATATTAGAAAATAGCACTCGAATGCTACCAGACAATACTTGGGGGAAAAAAACTCAGATTTTATAAAAGCATATTTTATCAATCAAAAGTCCAATAGTAAAACAAAGCCTACTCATCCAAATCCTGAAACAGCACCAACACAGTCTTGTCTCTCAAAATACATGTGCAGTCTCTTCTTGTTTGTTTTATATTCTGTTACCACTTTGATTTTAGTTTTTTAGTCTAGAAGTCTTATGAGGACATAGTCTGAATGAACATATATATCATATATATTTTTAACTAAAAACAAAGCTATGAGATGAAGAGCATTGTGGTCATTTTCTTGACAGGGATAATTATCAAGTTGTATGTTTTGTATTTTTCTCTCTTCCCAGCTAGACCACAAGCTCCTTGAAGAAGAAAACAGTGCCTTCTATTTGCTTATTTGCTCATAACGTTACAATGAGAAAACAACCTTTTATAAGTGTGACAGATATTTACTCCTCACCAAATACCCGCATGCTCTCTACCACAAGCAGGCAGTCACAGGGCTCGTGTCAGCTACTGGGAAATGAGTGGAAAGCTGTACAAGTAAAAGCTGTACATTTCAAATTGATCATTTAATTTTATGCCATGTCTATTGTGCCACAATGAAATAATTTATCATATACATTTTTATTGCTAAATGCAAAATTAATTACTTTAACATCGACAATTTCTTTCTTTTCACATTAAGGCACTACAGCTTTGACTAACCTGAAAACTCCAGCCCATTTCTTCAGCAAAGTTTCACTATATTGATCTCTTATTTCAAATAAAAGGTCAAAAAGTCGATTCACTGAAAAACCGTAACCCTAAAACAAATAAAAAATAAAATAAACAATCCAATAAGTAAAGATTCATTTTCAAGGACGCTAGGAACACTGGGAAGTCACTTGGGAGTGAGCAGTAGCACTCCACACGTCATCCTGACAGTGCAGGAACAGACACCTCAGACTACCACTAACTCTAGGGAGCAGGGGCTAGAAAAACGTTCCCATATCTTCTCTTTTATAAAATCAGAATTATATTATTAACCTTAAAACATACTGGAAATCAGTACTGGAGGAAAAGTTCATTAGTGACCTATGCAACTGTACCTTGGGAAGTAGCCCTCAAATAGGATATAAGAAGAAAAGGAATTAGATTCTGTCTGAAATATGCTGACTTCCTCTTGCACCTTCAATTTAAGATTAAAGAAATAAACAAAGGAAAAACAAAAACAAGACAATTTAAGATCGATTCTGGAGATATAGTGGAAATTTGTATCTCTCTAGCACATATACACCCCAAACCTATTCTTCCCGAAATCAAACCCACTGAAACCTTACCCATATGAGTAAGCAATTACCAAGCAATCTCTTGTCTCATGGGGCTGTCCTTTTTCTCTTCTAAATCTTATGTTTTTGCCTCTTTAACTTCCACTACTTTTCTCTTGGCTAAATAAATTGCCTCCCATCTTGAATCTAAGAACAACAAAGAAAAATTAATTTCAATGCCTGGCCACCTGCCACTGTCACTCCTTTCATTGTCAAGCCCACTACAATCCACATCCCAGCTCTATAGCTTTGTTGAAACTACTCTGAACAATGTCAGATTATTTCCTAAATGTGAATTCACTGATTTCTCACTATACTTCACCTCTCTTTGTTGAAACTCTCCTTTGAAATCTATAACATCAGTGTCTCTCCTTGTTCTTTTACATGTATAAAAAACCCTTCTGGTTTCCTTTCTTCTATTTCCATCCTTCGATCTTTCTTTTTACTTCTTTTGATTTCAACCATTCATTACTCTGATTATTCTGAAAAATTTTTTCTACCCAAACCAAAATTCTCGTATTTCATTTCAACATCTATCAGGTGTCTCCAGACAGTGTGCCAGGAAACACAATGAAGTGAATTCTACCTCCCCCCCTTACGAACAAAACTAAGTGTTCTTCCTACTTCCCATCTCTATTAATAGTTTTGTCATCAATCCATTTTATTAGGAAAGAAACTGGAAAATCATCTAAAAGTCTACACACACAAAGATATCTAGTCAGTCTACAAATTTTTTTGAGTATTTCTCCTTTACAAATCTCTCCCATATCTATCATTCTCCTCCATCATTTATCTACTTCTCTTCTGGAAATATTTCCAGATCCACTATTTCATTTCAGGTCATTCACATCTCTTCCTAGACCATTGTAAGAGTTTCCTAAACTGAAATTTCAGCCATTTGCCTCTTTTAACTCAATCTCTTGCCCAGACTCTCAAAAGTATCACTTAAAATAAGAGCATATCTTTTTATGCTATACCCCTGGTTAAAAACATAAAAGACTTACCAAAGCCCCACCAACCTGTCATAATCTGGGTTAAGCTACCTTACCAGTTCATTACTTATCTGCCCTTCCTCTGTTACTTACTTGCTCCCCCTTGCTTACCCATATAGTACAATTCCTCACACTATGAAGCAACTGAAACATTTTCCCGCTTGCCATGCATTATCTATAGTTTACACATGCTGTATCTCTGCATTAATGCCCCGCTCTCCATATCTACTTGCTGTACTCATCCTTCAAAATACAGCTCACAGATATTCTACAGGGGAGGGGAGGGGAACAGGATCAAAACTGGGGTGGGAAGGGCACACAGGACTATGGAGATGGCACCTGGGTGATGTGATGGTGGGAAGTCCATGGGGATGACAACCGAGGTGAAAAAGGTACAAAATGAAGAATGATGTTAAAAAAAAAATACAGCTCACACTTCAACTTTCTTTATAGTCTTCCCCAGTTTCTGGGACCACATTGAGTCATCTGTTTTCTATGAGTCCAAAGCACTTTAATATATTCATGGACTATATTTAATATATTTAACAAATTACACATTGTTTACTTACAACTAAACTGAGTTTCTTAAGTCAAAGATTTTTATGACCTTGCTGTCCTACTGACTTTTGTCTGTATCATTTTACAGATCATCTAGCTGCTATTAATTAATGAGTGCACATAAATTAATGAATGACTCAATAAATATTTATTTGCCTTATAGGCAATGAGCAGAAATGTAAATATGCTAGCAATGCTTTTTTTTAAATTGTAAAGTCAGCTGTTTTTTAAATAATGAGATACTGACCAGTAAGATGACAAACTGTCAATTCCAAAAACAAAATAGAATGCAGTATTCATTAGTTTGTTTAAAAAAAAAAAAAGATTCATTTACTTATGCATACAGAACTGGGGTACAGGCCAGAGGTGCAGGGGTGGTGAGAGGATTCACCAGTGACAGGGTGGGGAGCAGAACAGGCCAACTGATGAGAAGTACACTGCTGAGGGGAGCAGTAGACGGGTCAGGAGAGGTCTGTCGCACCATGTGGGTCATCTCCAGGGCAGGTGGGGATCGAACTTGTGCTGAAGTGGCTTTAGCTTCTTAGTGCTGTGCTGCACCACCAGGGAGGGCCTCATTAGTTTGTTTTTATGAAAAGTCCTCCCTCATCTTCAACTGCTAAATATAACTTGAAAGCTAACATCTATTAATTCAGTATAAAATCCACCTAATAGTAAGCCAATCAATTTTCAGTGGAGTGAAAAACCTGCAGGATTTATGAATAAATAAGAACTGGTTTGTCTTACTCAATCTTATTTCAAAGCAGTAAGGATTAGAAAGGTATAGATATAAGGCTTTCTGCACCCATGATTGTGTTTTCCCTAAAGTCTGTACAGCCTAAATATTGCCTATTACTCTCCTTTGAATCTCTGGAGAATTCCTTGGGACTACATCAAATACTTTAGATCCAGTAGTACTCACAAGCACCAATCTAAAAACAGCTTACAATGTTCCATAAAGAGTTAAGGAGACTGCAATAGAACATAATTCAATACTGCTATCTTCAGCAAGAAAGTCTTGCTATGAAAAATGATATCAAACCTACACTTTGTACTTAATGTGATGAAGTTGATTTACATTCTGAAAGAAGTTCTTTTTTGTTATGGAGCCATAGCAATTGCCAACCAATGATCCTAAAACAAAATTTGGGTAGCAAATATTGTAGCAATGCTGAGGACAATGTCACTAAGGACAACTTAAGTCCCTCAAGTTACTTAAAGCTAGCCCCCTCAAAAGGAAGGCAGTCTCCAACAAAATTTATCAAAAGTTTCTTTACAGAGAGATCAGTATTACATCAGCTACAAAACCTATGAAAACAAACCAAAAAACCCCTACTGTATCCTACTGTTATAAGATATAAAGATACAAGCCAGTAAAATAATTTCCTAAAGGAATTTGTGGAATTTTGTGCTTAGGTTCAAGAGTAGACAACTACTATTCAAGGATGTAAAAACTTTTAAAATTGAAGCACATATTTTAAATTAGCACTTCCCAAGGTATATTACATGAAGCCCTAGATCTATGATGTGTATGGGGATATGGGGAAGATTCAAGGATCAAATACATTGGGAAAATACTGTAGAGTCAACTTCCTTTAGGAAATGTATGGTATATAAATTTTTTTCTCAGAAAGACATTTACTGAAGAAACTTTTTTTAACTTCAATCAGTATTTCTCAAACATTTCTGACCAGAGATTCCTTTTTTAAGTAACATTTATTATCACATTTTGGAATATGCTAGTCTACTCTTCATGAAAAGTTATTCTAGCCATTAAACATCCTAAAAATTTAAGCATGAAACTAAATGAAACCAAGTTCTTATCTGTGACCAGAAAGGAAGGACAAGCTTAAAACTTTGATACTGAAAATCACAAAGGCACTTTGTGAATTTTGAGATAATGCAGTTTTAACCTTATTTTATTTTTAAGATTAATTTATTTATTCATACAGAACTGGGTTACAGGCAGAGGTGCAGAGGCGGTGAGAGGATTCACCAGAGACAGAGCGAGGAGCAGAGCAGGCAGATGAACGAAGTACGCTGCTGAGGGGAGCAACCAGCGAGACAGAAGAGGTCTGCTGCGCCATGTGGGTCACCACTGGGGCAGGGGATCAAACTCACACTGAAGCAGCTGAGGCTAGCTTGCAGTGCTGTGTCCTAATCCTTTGCACCATCTGGGAGGGCCCTTTAATCTTATTTTAAAAATTAAAAACTGAGACTCAAAGAAGCAGTGTCTTGCTTGCTTAAGTAGCAAAACTGAAATTAGAAAGGAAGTGTGCATAAATAGCTTTCAAAGTATGTGTTTCATTTAACATATTTAAAACTCAAAATGTATAATTAATGATCAATAAGCCCATTTTCACAAAGGAAGATCTAAAATTTGGAGAATTTTGTAGATACATAATTAGCTAGCAGTAGAGGCAGAATATAACATAAATTCACTCAGGGTCTCTGTAACTCCAGACCCCACATTCACTGTCTTAAGGCAAAATTTGTAACTTCTAATTTCTAGTTCAGGGGGCCTTTCACTAAACTACATAACTTTACTTTTATTAACTGCAAAAATATTCTGTCTAATCTAACAGAATAACTAAAGTTTTAAGGATTATGATAGTTCTGAGTTCTGTTCAAATTTTAAAATTAGGAAGGCAGCAGTATGAAAATTCCTGAGTAACAGAGGAAAGCCAGTGCAGTAAGCATCCAGTTACTACTAATTCACTACCATTAATCCACAACAAATTATATATAAGCATGGTCTATATTTTGTATTTCTTAAGTGCTCAAAATCATCATTAACTGAGTATTACATTATCACCCACCTGCAAAGTATCTGCAAATATTACAATGAGATTCTTCAGCTCCAGAACAAGATCAGGATCAGTGCAATAGGACTGGGAAAGTGGGTGGTGGTGGGTAGATATGGGGGTTGAAGCACAAACAAACAAACAAAGACCAGAGAATTTAGTCAAAAACTAAGGAAAAAAAAACCTGATTTTTTTCCCCTTTAATCTGTCAGACTCGTAATAAATGTAATCCTGGTTATTTACATTTATTCAGTAAAATTTCCTAGAGAAAGATCATAAGATGACATACGTAAAGTAGCGAGGGTATACTATCAAACACTAGCTAGGATGTAAAATAATGGTACTTTAATAGCAATGTATTTTTTAATTAGGATGTTTAATTTTGTAATTAGAAAAGTAATTTTTCTAAAATATGCACACACTAAACTTTGGTCAAATCAATGATACTTATATTTCTAAAACTCTTTACATTTTAAGGAATTAGTCATTTTAAATTGGAAAAAATGGACATAATTTTACTTTTTAAGTATTTATTTTCTTATAAAAGATACAAAATGATCCTTTTTCTAATAAGAATAAATTAAATATTTTCTTATCAATTCATTTACTATATTACTATAGTAATATAGTAGATATTACTATATTATGAATTCCTATTCAGTATCACAGAATTCAATTAAAACATACTATTATATATATTCAGAGCTGGTCTGAATATGAATTATGTTCTATATTAATATGTCAGGAAAAAGCTGTAGGCCATTGGACAGTGTATCAAAATCTATGTTCTAAATAAGAATGTAGTACACTTCTAATCTAAGTATTACATAAATAATACTACCTCACAACATTTGCAGTCTCTATTTTCAATAATAAAATTATAAATAACATTTCTAAGTATGAGTTCATTTTTACTAAAATTATCTTAAGTGAAGCATACACTGAGCAGTTATTAATTTCAATTGTCTTTGAAATGCTAGCATACCTTATTATCTCCAAACAAGGTACATTACAAAAACATTTGTGCATTTTACCTTCATCTTTAAAAAAAATCATTCATTACATAAAAGTTCATTCAGTATTTCAAATGAGCTCAAATTTTTATAATTGCATATTTCTAAGAAATATGTGACTGTCTTACTGCAAATCAAATTATAAACATTAAAAATGAATTGTTTTGAGTTTTAATGGTAGAGTTTATTTTGCAAACAAAGAAATTGGAATGATAATTAAAAATTCATTCATCACAGTGCTTTTCAGTGATCTAATAAAGACGTCAGTTGAGACTAATGAGATCAGCTTATTTTCTATAAAGCTGAACTAAGTGTCATGGGAAGCCACAGTCACTTGCAAAATCACAGTATTTGCCAGGCAAACAAAAGACTGATATCCCTACATCCAAGTCTGAAAAATTATCAAAAACAATTTAAAAAGCAGAATGAGATACAGTTTTCTACTGACATTAGGCAGAAATGCTTAAAGTAACTGAATCAAAAACTTGAAAACTTAGTGACAAAAATTATCTAACTTACTGAATGAGCTCTAAGAACAGCAATTATCTTTGAGAGGGCCATGTTCCAAAGTTCATCAGTGTATGCCCTGGTTACTAATCCTTGGGTCACATGTAAAATGTGATCTTCTACCACAAAGAACCTAGAAACCATAATTATCGACAAAACATGTGTTAAAAAAATTAAAAACCCAAATAGAAAATAATTTGTTCATTTAAAATGTTATTAACAGATGAGATACATACCCTACAATTTGAGTGAAGTATCTTCTATAGCCATCAACTGTTTCATGCTTTAAATGAAAAATGAAAATCAACTAAATTAATAAATATCAATAACTGGAAAGTAAGTTCAAAGTAACTACAACATTTATGAGGAAATACTTACATAAAGCCTCGTGTATGCTACATATATTTTATATATCTTAGGCAACAGGGATACACTGCTAAGTAATAGAAAGTGTCTTACCCTGATGAAACTTGCATTTAAAGAAAGCAGACAATAGCAGACAATACCTAGTTAAAATATAAATGTTAGGCCCTCCCTGGGGATGCAGCTGTTTAAAGCAAAGCACTGAGAAGCTAAAGCCACTTCCACATGAATTCAATCCCATCTGCCCCAGAGGTGACCTCATGGCCTGGTAGACCCCTCCTGGGCCACAGCTCCCCTCAGCAGTGTACTTCGTCAGTCGGCCTGTTCTGCTCCCCACTCTGTCTCTGGTGAGTCCTCTCATCACCCCTACATCTCTGGCCTGAACTCCAGTTCCGTATGCACAAATAAATAAATCTTTAAAATATATATATGTAAATACTAATCCATAACCCCCTTTTCTGCAGGTTAGTTCTAAGCACCATCTTCTCCCACTCAGGCTGCTGCATCACCATTCTACGCAACTTGCCCAACAACTTCCCCAGCCTTTAGCCGTGTTCCCTATGGCTTATTCTTCACATTGCTGCCATGACAATACTTCTTAAATAATCAGATCATTATATCTTCTGCCAAAAATCTTCTAATAGCTTTTCACCCAACTCTTAATAACAGTTAAATTCTTCAAAAAAGCTTTACCATTGCTTATTTATAATTTTATCAAAGGCATACAGGAAAATATTTGATCATTTGACTTTCATTTCATTACACAAGTTCATTCCCTGAAATACTTCATTACTTCAATTTAGGTCAAATACTGTATTTTGTATATTTCATAAGTCATATGATAAAGACTGTGAAACAGCTGGGGTTTCCCCCCAGATATTGAGAACAGGATTGTTATGGCTTTTTAGCTAAAAATACTATGATCAGAAAACGTAAGCTACATAACATCAGATGTATGCTATTTCCTGATACAGTCAAATTTTTTATAATGTCCCATGTGTACATACAAGAACATGTTTCTATAGCTGTTGAAACAAGGCTGTTTATATTCATTCCATTAGACCAAACTATTAAACATGCTCTGTATTTATCCTGATATTCTATTTGGTTTATATGATACTGAGACTTCTTGGAAAGTCCACTATGCTGTGGAATTTCCTATTTATTGTCATAGTTATGGAAATTTTATTTTAAATACTTTGAAACAACATCATTAAGTGCTTATAGGTTTAGAGACTACTTTTTATGAACTATATGACATGAAGTTCTTTTTTTATCATTCTAGCTTTTATCACTCTACTGTATGAAGCCATATACTCTTTATCTGCTGCTTAAGTGGTTATGCCAGAAATTGTATTATGTTTACTTAAATAATCAAACTCTAAAATTAATCAATATTTTTGTTCTTTTTCAGGACAACTCAGAAGTTATAGAGTTCCATTTTATGAATTTCACTCTGATGTTTATGCTAATGTGCATTTTCACTTTATTTTGCATGAAAGTTTATAATAATTTATCAATATTATTTTCTATAATCAACTTAGATTACCCACATATTTGCACTTTGTTTGCTATTCATTCCTTCTTGTACTTTGTATCTTCCATTTGTTATCACTTTCAAACAGAAGCATCAGAATTTCTAAGGGAAAGGTAGAATATTCTCAGAACTTCCAAGGGATAGGTGGGTGTCCTGGTGGCAAATTTTCTTCTTCTTTGACTGAAAAATCTATCTTTGCCCTTGTTTCACTGGTTATAGAGTCCTAAGTTAACACATCTCCTTTCAACATTGAAAATGATACACTGTCTTGTTAATTTGAAATAACATTTTTGCTTTCTGGGCATTTTGAAGATCCCCTATTTTTGTTTTTAAAATTTTCAAGTTTATTGAGGTATAATTTACAAGTACTTTATAAATGAAGATTTTAGTGTTGCTACCACCAAACCCAAGACACAGAACATATCCATCTCAGAAAAAGTTCCCATGTCACCTTTTGTAGTGAATCACTCTGTCAGACTCCGTCCCCTGGCAACCAACCCTTTCTGTCTCATAGTTCTGCATCTTCCAAAACGGCGTCTGAGTAACATAAACCAAACTGCACATAACTTTGTTGTATCTGGATTTTTTTCCACTTAGAATAATACTTCTGCGATTTACCATGTTGCCACATTTATTAGAGATGGATATTTATCTACTTTTTAATGTATGTTAGTCCATTTTTATCCTATTGTTTATTTACTAGTTCATAGACATTTGGGATTATTTCCAAAGGAGGCATTTAATAAAGCTACCATAAATATTCATATATGGGTCACTATGTGAGGTTACATTGTCATTTCTCATGGGTAAATACTTAGGATTGAGGCTGTTGAGTCACAGGAAAGTATGTTTAACATTATGACAAATTTCCAAACTATTTTCCAAAGTGACAATATAAATTTTATATCCACCAGAAGCATCTGAGAGTTCCATTTGTTCCACATCCTCACCAGCACTTGCTAATGTTAATCTTTTCAATTTTAGTTATTGTAGTAGATATGTAGTGGTACCTCACTAATTTTAATATGCATTTCCCTGATGGAAAATGATATTAACAACTTTTCATGTGTTTATCCATCAGCTTTGTGTCTGATGAAATGTCTACTGGAGTCTTCTGTCCACCAGCTTATTTATGTTGAATTAGTTAAACAAGTTCTTTATATATTTTGGATACAAACCCTTTGTTAGACAACAGCTTCACAAATTTTATCCTTATATGTCTTGTGTTCTTTCATTTTCTTCACAACACCTTTTGAAAAGAAGTTTTTCAAATTGATACTCTATCATTTTTTTTTTCTTAAGGGTCCATGCTTTATGCATCTCAAATAAGAAAATATTGTATAACTCAGATCACAGACACTTAATCTTTAGTTCTTTTTCTAGAAACTTTGCAATTTTAGCTCTTACATTTAGGTACATGTTCCATTTCTTAAATTGCTAAATGAGATAAAAACCAGTATTCACTTTTTTGAATATAGATAACTTAATTCTCCTGTTGGCAGTAGGCACAATTATTATAATTTTAAGCTTTTTTTACTTGTTCAGGTTTGTTTTATGATCCAGAATATGATCTGCTTTGGTGAACCTTCCATATATATTTGGAAAGCATGAGTGTTTGGCTATTTGTGGTGGAATAGCCAATAAAAGTCAATTAGATAGCTGATGATACTTTTCAGGCCTCTGCAGTATAAATCTCTTAATAACATGAAAAACTGCATACCTAATGGTGCTCCCAACAGGCTATCGAGTATAATTTAGGTGTATAGTGGGGTATGCCATATAGGTTTGCATAATTACATTTTATGATATTCACAAAATGATAAAGTCATCTAACAACACATGTCTCAGCATTATCCCCATCATTAAATGACATATGACGTTACTCTCTCTTTCCCTTTGGACTTCTGCAGTTTCATAATGATGTTTCAAAGAATATCTTTCTTCTAATCTAACTTACTTGAGGTTCCTTGGGTTTATGATGTAGCTTTATACCGCTCATCTCTGTTAGCAAATTGTTAGCAACCATTTTCTTCAAAAACTCCAGTCTCATTTGTTCTAACCTCTTTCTGAAACTCCAATTAGATATGTCAGACTTTGTCTCTGAATTTCCTGTCTGTTTTCAGATTTACATCCTTTTGTCTCTCCATGATGTTTTTGAAATAACGTTTCCAAATCAACTATGAGAATTCATCAATTGTAAAACCAGAGATTAAGTGACAGTACAACCATTCATCAATTGTAAGTTAAAAAAAATTTTAATTTCAGTTAAATTTAATTTCTTTAGTTTGTAGGTATTTTATTTGATTTCCCTCATTTTGGGGCCATCCTATATAATTTCTTGCATTCAATTTATATTATAATTCTTGTCTTCTATTTCTTTAACTATATGAAGTAGTTTTATTTTCTATTTTAGTAAATCAAATCTGGTAAGTCTTTTAAGATTAATTTCTGTTGTCAGTATTTCTAATGATTCTCACTTATTTGGTAATTATTTCTGAGTATGAATTGCTAATTTCCCTTACCATGGCAACTATTGATATTTTCTAACTCTAATATGAAAAACCTAGTTCTCTGAACCTTCATATGCAAATGCTTTTAACTAGGTATCTGGAGACAACATTAGCAGAGATTCACTTTAAACTTTTGGTTTGATATTTATTCTGACTATCTACATAAAATGAATTTGGAGTATAAACGAGTACTCCTTGCAATGAATTCTCATAGATGCTTTTTCTTTATTCACTTAATATAATATAAACATTTGAGATAAATAATCCTCCTTACAGTATTTGCCAGAGGGACAGAGGTTTTGTTAGATGATTGCCCTCACGTCCTCAAATCTCATGCTTTTTCATTGAGCAGATGCTCCTAGCATAAAAGTTGCAAAGGTTACCTTATTAAAATTATTGGGTTTCTGCCTTTATTTAGGGTTTCCTGTTCTTTTTCTAATAGTATAGTCCGAGGTATAAGTTACACACATTATATATAACTCATCCTTCATGTGCAGTTTCTACAAGTTTCACAAAAACATCTACTGAACAATCACAACTAAACTAAAACAGGTCCTATCACTTAGCTTGCCCTGACTAAATTTTCTAACCAGATTCTAAGAGCATCTAAAAGAATTTAAGATTTAGGCCCTCCCTGGTGGCGCAGCAGGTTAAAGCACAGCACTGAGAAACTAAAGCCTCTTCCGCATGGGTTTGATTCCGGCCTGCCCCGGAGGTGACCACATGGCGTGGCAGACCTCTCCTGACCCGCCTGCTGCTCCCCTTAGCAGTGTACTTCGTCAATCTGCCTGTTCTGCTACCCACTCTGTCTCTGGTGAAGCCTCTCGCCACCCCTGAGCCTCTGGCCTGTACCCCAGTTCTGTATGAACAAATAAATCTAAAAAAAAAAAAAAAAATTTAAGATTTAGGGCACTCCCTGGTGGCACAAGAGTTTAAAGCACAGCACTATGAAGCTACCACAGCCACAGCACAGCAGCATGAGTTCAATCGCTGGCTAGGGAAGTGACCAACATAGTATGGGACATTTCCTGACCCACACGCTGCTCTCTTCCTGTTCTGCTCCACATTGTCTCTGGTGAATCCTCTCAGCCCCTGCACCTCTGGCCTGTACCCCAGTTCTGTATGCATAAACAAATCTTTTTTTTTTTTTAAAGAATTTAAGATTTAGAAGAATGTTTCATTTCAAATTTAAAAAAATTTATCTAGCATCTTCAGTTGTTTCACAGTGAACAATTAAAGTACGCAGTCTACCATATTGTAAGAAACTAATTATCACACCTGGATATTCCCTGACACTAATTATCACTCCTGACATTTTACTTATCTTTTCATTTATTCCACTACCTGTTCTACTTGTTTATGTCTTATCTTCCCTAGTGAATACAAGTTCAAGGGAGAAGGGACTACTGTTTTGCTGATGGCTGTACCCGTAGTAGTTAAATCAATTTTTGGAAATGATAGATGTTCAGTAAACAATTATATTGGGTAAATAGAGTTGCATGATAAAATAAAGTAGGGTAAAAGGTCAAGAAATGATAATACAACCAATAAAACATTTCACATACTTACCATGTTGGACTGGGATTGTAATACCAGTCTTGCTTGTTTCTTTCTTTGTTTCCGGTAATAATTTTCAAATGTTTCCTCATCACCCTAAAATAAAATCAGCAGAGTACCGAAATAAAATATATATAAATTTATGTAGTGCTAAAACAGATAACCACTTTAGCCCGTAAAATTAATTTTAACTTTTATAACAGATGAAATATAAATGCTGTCTGTTATTTCTTATTGAATGTCAAGAACAAGCTTTTGGCATTATAGTTCAAAGACAGTAGTAACCTTGTACCATGACAATTAGGAGAACTACAGTTAAATTCAAACAATTTGATGTTTGTCCAATTTACCACTTCACAGAAAAGTAAATGAAGTCCTGCCTTAATTAATAAAGTAACATCTCTTAAAACAAAGCTTTCTTTCATTGTTCAAATACAAATTAAGCAAATCTTTATAAAGCATCAGTCAGATAAAAATGGAAAGCATTGGCCCTCCCTGGTGGCGCAGCGGGTTAAAGCACAGCACTGAGAATCTAAAGCCCCTTCCGCATGAGTTCAATTCCCGCCTGCCCCGGAGGTGACCACATGGTGTGGCAGACCTCTCTGACCC